ATCGCCTGCGTTAACGCGCTAATTTTGACACCACTAATATATATATATATATATATATATATATATATATATATATATATTTATTTAAATGTATACAAGGTATACATATATATATATATTTGAAAGCTTAAAAAATAAATAATGATTAATGATTGCACAAATATAAAATAAGCATTATTTTGCATAAAATAAGCTTTTCAAGAGTTTCACAAGGTAAGGATTCACAATTGTCTGAAGTAGTTCTCTCTATGATATATCATCATAAGGTTTTCTTTTAAAAAATTAAAAAGGCTTTTTATGCCTTAAAAAAGAAATTAAGAAATTAAAAACATTCTAAGAAGTGGTTGTCATTTCTATGAATTGCATTTTTTTATTAAATTAATAGATCCAGACAAAAAATGGGCATCATGTCATTGACCCTGGTACATTTACGCATATATTTACTTATTCATTTGACCTTGGTTACTGTGGCAACATGAGGACGATTTTCTGTCACATGCCGGTGGTTGAATCGTCACTTTGCCCATTGTGTTTACATTGTGTTGTTTCTATGGCAACCATTATTTGTACAAGCAGGAAGAGTGCTAACTGCTAAGTAATTCATTCTGCACTGAAGAAGCATTTTAAAATTTCCATGTGAAACTCACCATCCTTCATAAGCGTTTGCAGTAATGACTGCAGTCTGTCCAGTAAAACTGCAGTCACCCTGTAGCGAAACCTTTCCTGCTTCTGTGTAAGACACTGACCAAACAGCTCATCTGTAACACACATATAGAAACCTGTCTCTTTTAGGAATATAGAAAGTGGACATGGTCTGCTGAGATCAAACTGCATTTTTATTTAATGTATTTAAAAGTACACACCATGTTATTATAAACATTTCTCTGAGGATCTCTTCCTTTTTTCACTTTCTCACCCTTGCTCTTTCTGCTTCTATTTGACATATACAGAGACTACGGCGAGGGTGAAGTTGTGTGATGTCACAGTTGCCATGGAAACGGTTGAAGAACACTGACTGGGTAAGACCAGGTGCTGGTGAAAGTAAGTGTTTACTGTGTAGTCAATGATTTTTTTTACACACTCTACTGCACACATCAGCTTTAACTAACAGCTACAAAATAGTCAGAGATCAAACCTACACACAATAATCATTACAGTAATTGTTTTTGTAATAAAGTCAGTAGATTTATCAGTATGATAATAAAGCAAGACAATTAAGGTAATTATATACACACAAAATAACAAAAAGAGGACAAGACTGATGCATGAAAGCCAAATAAAACATAAATGATTGAAGGACGGTGCTGATGCTATTATGTTGTGCAATAATTACACAACTGTTCCAGGGACTCTGAGGCAATACGGTAAGTCTTATCATTATTGTTCATCTTTTTCCAGTAATGAGTAACATTGTACAAAGTTCAAAATCTGAAATTAAATATGGCAGCACTCACCATCCCAGCAAACCTGACTACTGGAGCACAGGCCTTCATCAAACAGACAACCTTGACAGAGAAAAGTAGAAAAAGAGAAGAGAGAGTATGAAAGGGTAATTGTTTTTCTGACAAAATAGACCAACACAGACCCTCTCCTCATATGTGAGCAGGTTGTTTCAAGATTTATACTAGCTCAAGCATCACAAACATCCCATAGATATGAGTTACAGTTCCAGAAAGAGCTAAATACAGACCACCAGCACACTGACAATTTCAGCACCATATGTCAGTGTATATAATTGGTTATCAGATGCTGTCAGTAAATTTAACACCATAGAAACAAACAAGTAATGATTTGGAATAATGACCAACCACCATAACGAGCATTAGTAAAGATTTGCCAGAATGGTGCGAGACAAAACAAGCAAGAGTGACTCCAACTGCCATCTGCATCTTTACACATAAGAATGACAAATAACCGAAAGAAAAAAAGTGCAATATCAATATATAGGACAAGTCAATTGCTCATGTTTGTTTGAAAGCATATTGCACACTCTGCCAACCTTCCATTTCCTCCAGTACCCTTGTGCTTCCTCAAACATACACACACTTAAGAGTTGGGCAGACAAACTCGTCATACATAATTGAATCATTGGGATGAAAGTTGGTTATACGAGTGGGAGTTCCTGCTCCAGTCTGCTGTACGCCTCTTCTATCAAAATAAATGTAAAGTCTTACTGAGATTGTATATGAGGCAAGAGGAGAGGAGAGGAGCTTATTGTGCAGTTCCTTCTCACTTGAACACATCCCTCAAGATTCCTTTCTTAATCTGGAAGTTGAACCAACAATTACAATCTCTTCTGCCACCTTTGACACATGCAAATCAATGTTTATACTGTTCGCCTTCCTACACAACAGCTCTCTCCAAGCTTTATAAGACATTCCCATAGAGTTTTGTATGCTTCTGAGTGACGTGCGCCCTCACAGTGACGGCTGTTATAAGAATGACGTGGGATGGCTCGTCAGTGGTGAGTCAGCCTGCAGAAGAGGAGCTAATACAAATGCAATGCACAAGCGAACATACAAGCTCTCTAAGAAACATGCACTCCGACCCCCCTCGCACTCATACGCCCCATCAACTTTCAAATCAATTTGAAGCAATTGTTGCCAAATCGACCCATTGTGCGCTATTACAGATTGACTACTTCCGCTGTCCATGGTGCTGAATTCTTACTCCACAAGAAACAGAACAAGACCTCTCAGCAATGGACTATGGCCATGTATGAAAGTCGTAAAATGTCCATGAAGGCAGAGGGTTGTTGAAACTATCGCGGCATAAGTAATTAATGACACGACATAATCATATAGTATACCAGAATAAAAACAGTGTTAACTCTTCCCAACACAGCAGGCAGCTCGTTAGCAGTTATACATTTCTACTAGACTGGCAGTGTAGGCTGCGTTATCGCGGGGTCTATGAATCATGTCGTTATCTGATGTCGCCAGATCGCTATACGCTGCCATCCCCTTTTCCAGAGAATACGAATGTTATATAATACAGTAAATAAACAAGAAAAAATAATGCAAATAAAATACAAAATACCGAAAATAAATTGACATTTTTCACACTTCAGACATTTTTTAAGTATTAAAAGCTTTAAATACAAAAAGGCTTTCTAATATTCTCAATAAACCCCCGATTTCACTAATTACTAATCACCACAAAGTTAGTTTTATAATAGTACATGCAGGCTCGAATAATAAGACTAATTGAATACTATTAATTAAAATAGTAATTGAACTGTCGTCATCATCTTAAAGAAAATAAGTGAAAACATGAAGCACATTTCCCACAATGAAACATTTTCAATAGCTGCCATTCATCCCACCCGAGACGAGGTTTTATCTCATCGACGTCAACATTTACAGCAAGCACACACGATTTTCTTTGACAAAATTCTATTAAATGCACGTAACAAATTGTCATGCTTCCGATCGTACAGGTGATCAGAATCCGAACATAACCGGTTTTTACTTATTCGTAATGCATCTATAGATGATAAATGTCACATTGTAAACGTTTAAGTAAAAAAAAAAAAAATTCGAAAGTATATATTGCATATGCATTTGATGTAAGGGGGAGGGGACGTCCATACTAAAAGCTGGTGTTTAATACTAATAATTTTCCGCAGCTGAATCATGCATCATTCAGCTGAAGTTAACCTGTGGCTCGTGCTCTTGACGTACCGTATCTATCACCGGTGCCAAGCTGACAACACGCAGCCGCCAAACAGACAAGCATCCACAGACGCGCCGATTTCATCTTCCCTCGGCTTCTCTGTTCTCTATCCTCGTTTACGACATATTTAGATGATAGCGACCAGTGTAATGTTGCGCGTGTGCCAAACTCCAAAAACACGAGACTTGGGTAAGAGTGCGATAAAGATGAGTGTTTGCGAGAAGGAGCACCAGTGCGCTCTCGAAGGGAGGGGGTGAGAGGACCGGACAGACAGAAAACCCGGAAAGTGGGCACGACAATCAGTACAGTAATGCAGTTATTTTGAGTAATACACAAATTACATCATAATGGCCATTACTGGTCTGAGGTTTGGACTTCATGCTTACAATTTCAAGGCACATAACATGCTCAGAAAATAGCATTAATGGAAGACATGAAAACAAGGCACAAGTTTATTGGTTTTATTAACAACTTCACAAAGTAGAGTGTATGGCAACACTTCTCAAGTGCCACAGTATAGGAGTGTGCAAACTCACCAAGTGATAAATGAATGGACATTTGTAAAGAAATAGACAGATGGCAGTGATGGATATGATGTCAAAATGAATGAAAGTGGAAAAAGTGATATTGATTTCCCTATTAATGACGTCCATGAATCCCATCTGTGTGGTTCTGGTGAGTCCCTCTCACAGTCTAGTCCACAGTTACTGTGCTTCTTATAAAGGGGAAGTGCTCAAAGAAGCCCTGCATATTATAACACAGTTAGAACAACCCAAAACAGACTTGGCAAACATTCATAAGACAATCCTTAAAGGTACAGTTCACCCAAACATTCATCCTCATGTTGTTTCTTTTTCCATGATACAGAAAAGTTGAAATTGAAAAAACTGTACTGGTCACTCCTTTCTACACAGTTACAACGAATGGAGTATGAGGCTTTAAAATCATTCTTATGTGTTAGATCTTTTTAATATATAAAACCTGTCAGAATAACTTCTTCACCAAAAACTCAATATTATGATGCTGATTTTTTGCCAACTTCTCCTGTGTTCCATGTTCCATGTCAAAGTCATACAGATTTGAAATGACATTAAAAGAAATTACAAATTCAAAGTAAAATACCAAATTTGTATTTTTTAACTACTTATTTAACACTTGTGCAGTGCTGAAAATCCTTTACTTAATTTGGTGTTCCTGGTCAAAAATGACGGGCCTTTTAAAAATTGTTTGTAAATTTACCTTAAAGAGGGTGGTGGTCTGGAGAACTCCCGTTGTGCAGCACATTTCACGAATGGAGTGCATGGCAAGTTGAGGTGCCCTGAGATCAAGAACTGCCATTCCTAAACGAGCTGCTAAAATCGGCCCAATCGTTGTTCCACATGGACTGTCATTCCTGACCATCACATCCTGTGTAAAAAAAAGGAGCTTTTACTTGACGAAACAGTAACATGTCATGCTGTTTGTAATATCAATGTCCATTCCACACAGATAGAAGAGAGCTAATTTCTATCAGTTTTAATTGTGTATACAAAGGGGGGTTATGGTGTCCTGGTGACCAAAGCAAGACTTTCTTTTTTTTCCGAGATCGATCTTTTTCCTCTGCTACACTCTTCTGTTTATAAATCCCACACGGTCTTGTGAGCAACCTGTTGCTAGATGGTTTGTAGATAGATCATTTTATCTTGATATACACAAACATCAACAAAGACTCTAAATGCCTACCAACAAAAACAAACCACACAATAGTAATCAATTTCCTTGTCTTGGATTTCACTTCTTCAGAACAGTGATGCTAATTTTAGCTTAGATAATGAGGATCACTTTAACTGGTTTATATGGCAGAAGATTCTTGGGAAGGACAGATGGTGAAGCAGGATGTAATGAAATATAAGGGAGGAGGGGGGGATGTTCTGCTTACCTGTAGAAGTACGGCCACTTTTCCAGCAATCTCTCGTAATATGGCAGCAGTTACAGCAGTGGTAGCATAGTGCTGGTTACTGTTAAACTTTATGACTGGACCCTGATCCAGGACACACAATGTGAGAGATTTAGCTGATTGGGCTCTGCTGAGGTCTTCATGAATGATTCATTGAGGAGGTGCTGGTGTGTGTGTTTGTTACCTTATGAAATGCAGGCCTGTGATTTTCCTCATGTTTCTCCCTGTAAGGAGAATCATACATGTGTATATCATACATTACTATGCACATTGTTTTCAACATTACTATCAGTTGAAAACAATTGTACCGCTTAATGTTTTTGTGGAAACCACAATAAATTTGTTTCAAATTATTTATTTGAAACAGAAGATTTTTTGTAACAATGTAAAAGTCATTACTGTTACTTCTGATCCAATTAATAAGTTTAATGTAAGCCAATTTGTATTTCTTAAAAACTCACTAACCCCAAGCTTTTGAATAGTTGTGTATATATATATATATATATATATTAGAAATCTCCATGACGTGACATTTTATACATTCATCATTTTCCCAAGACTGAAAATAACTACTTTAAAATTCTTGATATTCCCAGGTGTTTCTCATGACTGGGAAATGTGATTGTTATTAAAACAAAACCACAAATTCTGGTGTCACCACAATGATGACAAATTGTACCAGGGAAAAAAACTGCTAATTTAAGTGTTACCATAGAAACAAACAAGTTACCATAGTGACAGACTGCCTGGTAGTTAGGGTGTGCAAAATGTGCCATGTCCGCACTGATCATGTAGGACAGTGGCACTGCCTCCTGAATGGCGGTCAGATTGTCAGGCGTTGAAGCAAGACGCCGCAGAATCAACTCCCTGAGAGCTCTCAGACCCCACCTATTGATAAATAAAAAAGCCAGATTATTTGGATGAGGAGACTCATGATGGATTCAGAATCGACATTTGCTCATAATATTTGCTTTTGTTGTCTCACCTCTTCGTTGTCATATAGAGTAACCACACGGATGTTTGGATCTTTTGCTAGAGAATCAGGTGTGCTGGAGTCCATGAGAGCCTGGGAGAGAGGACATAATTCTGTATTAATTATTCATCATCACTCCTCAGATAATTTTTGAGTGGGTGAATGACTGAATATTTAATAAGATGTTGATCTCTGTGTTCAGGCGTAACGTGAGAGCACAGAAACAACTGTGCAGGTTGTCCAGACGAGGAGAGAAGATGAATTCTTCATAGACACCTCCTAGTGCCTGCAGAGCACAAAACCATGTCAAAACTCATGATAATCAGTTAAAAAGCCCCGGTGAGAACCCACTGCTGACACTCTGCCCGTTATTTTATGTGTAAATCATATGGAAATGAGAGCTATTAGAGCTCTTAAGTCTTGTTCCTTTGAGATTCTCTAAAGTAATGTTTCATTCTGCTGGTAGTCCCAGTCTTACATTTAAAGGCTTTTCTTCAGTCAGGTAAAAATAACAGAAATCCTCTTTGCCGAGCACAAATGTACCCTGCATACTAATCCTCTTTATGTCAGCACAATTTTGTGCAAAAGCTCAAAAAAAGAAAAAGACTAGAAAGCAAAACTGAAATCTTTTGGGTATTAGTCTAACAAGAAGACAAAGAGACTTACACCAGGCTGCGTGTCTGTCAGACAGAGCTCAAAGTCCAGTAAAGCATTTGGCTCGACCCCGAGATGTCCACACAGCATCTGGATCAGCGCAGGGTGATGCTTCTCTGCCTTAACACAGCAAAATAATTAGAGAAGTGTTCATAAAACATTTAATTTTTAGTAAGGATTGGTTACCTATTGCCATCAATTGATATTTGTCTTAGACATGTGATCGGAAAACAGTCAATATTTTATTGTGCATGCTCACGTGCCTTGTGTTTACATTTAGACTGCTTTTGCCATTATCTAACATTTCTTTGCCGAGCACAAATGTACCCTGCATACTAATCCTCTTTATGTCAGCACAATTTTGTGCAAAAGCTCAAAAAAAGAAAAAGACTAGAAAGCAAAACTGAAATCTTTTGGGTATTAGTCTAACAAGAAGACAAAGAGACTTACACCAGGCTGCGTGTCTGTCAGACAGAGCTCAAAGTCCAGTAAAGCATTTGGCTCGACCCCGAGATGTCCACACAGCATCTGGATCAGCGCAGGGTGATGCTTCTCTGCCTTAACACAGCAAAATAATTAGAGAAGTGTTCATAAAACATTTTATTTTTAATAAGGATTGGTTACCTATTGCCATCAATTGATATTTGTCTTAGAAATGTGATCGGAAAACAGTCAATATTTTATTGTGCATGCTCACGTACCTTGTTTTTACATTTAGACTGCTTTTGCCATTATCTAACATTTGCTTAAAATTAATATTTAAAAATATGAATGTTTTAATAACAATCTTAAATGTAATTTTAAGCAAATCTTAAATTATCAGTTTTTTATACTGTATATTATAATGCTGTGGTGCTAAATACATTTGTAGCATTCTTCAACAACTGAATTTATGATTTAAAGAATTTTAATATTGGTTATAACAGGAAAATAATTATCAGCTCATTGTATTGGCCAGAATTGTAAAGGGATTTTTTTGCCCAAACATGAAAATTCTGTCATCAGTTACGAACCGTTCTTGCTTGGTGTGCGAGAACCAATGAGGTTTGTTCTCACATGTCACGCAAGCATGTTTGAGCTTCCTCAAGAACCTATCAGGCACAAAAATATACAAACAGACAACTCTTGTAAAAGTGAGTGTTATTCACTGACAATTAGGGCTGCACGATAAATCGCATGCAATATTTAACGCGCATATTTAACGCGCATCTTGTCAGTAAAGCCGGTTCTTTAATCAGCGGTAAATCTCCATCACCTGCGGGTTTTCACATGGAGCAGCATTAACTACACAGAGCCGTTGTTCACTGACAAGAGATTTACTGCTGATTACAGAATGGCTTTACTGACAAGATGCGCGTTAAATATCGCATGCGATTTATCGTGCAGCCCTACTGACAATGAAGGATTCAAAGGAACCTGGGTATGTTTTACATTTCTGTATCACAGAGGAATACACACATCACAGAGGCTTACCTTAACCATTACACGACCTGCGATGGTCAGGTCACGATCAAACCAAGTGTTCCAGATTCCTCCTCCATAACACTCCACTCCTATCTGCAAGAAGCCCAACTTTGTCTTCTTAGAGCGTGGCTTTACCTAAGCACACGTGCACAAGAAATTACGAATGACACCTGCATACATCCTCTATTTTCATTAATGTGGAATACAGCTATAATGTAATTACTGTACACCGCTATGGAACACTCAAGAGAACTGATGATATTTCATCTATATTAAAGCATCACAGAGCATCTTGTGTCTTTTCTTCTCACCCTCAGACATGGACTGTCCGTATGAGCCCCGATCATGGAAAAACCATTTCCAGGCTTGTAGAGACCACCGACAGCAAAAGCAATAATGGTGGAGTAATTCCTGGTAACAAAGTACTGGAAAGAAAAAGATTACAGTGAATAGAGTGAAAAGATATTTAATATGAGCAGCACCGAGTTGTTTCTCATTCTGTATAGAAATAACAGACTAAGCTACATATGGCCAAAGATATTTTATGATTATTTTTATAATATGCACCTTTAAAAGTCATTCCCCCAGCTGTAGGAGTTTATTAAAGGAATAGTTCATCCAAATATTAAAATTTAATGCAAATCTATTCACCCTCAGGCCATTCAGGATGTAGATGAAGTTTTTTCATCAGAACAGATTTGAAGAAATTTAGCATTACATCACTTGCTCACCAATAGATCCTCCGCAGTGAATGGGTGCCGTCAATCCGTCCTCCATCCGTAATATCAAATACACAAAATAATGTTCTTTTTAGCAGCATCATATGACCCCTTTAATGTCTTGTGAAGTGAAAAGCTGCATGTTTGTGAGAAACAAATGCATCCTTACAATGTTTTCAACTTAAAATCGATGTAGGAGTTTATTAAAGGAATAGTTCATCCAAATATTAAAATTTAATGCAAATCTATTCACCCTCAGGCCATTCAGGATGTAGAAGAAGTTTTTTCATCAGAACAGATTTGAAGAAATTTAGCATTACATCACTTGCTCACCAATAGATCCTCCGCAGTGAATGGGTGCCGTCAATCCGTCCTCCATCCGTAATATTGCTTTCTCCAGTTTAAAAGTTGTCTCATCTGAATGAGGAGAGAAATATGCACAAATCAAGCACTGTGAAAATAGTCTAAAACAGTTCTAAACATGTTGGTGGATTTTGATGTGAGAGGACAACAGGTGATGGACTTTTTCACTGGAAGATGCTTTATTATGGATTATAGACTCGTATTTTGTATAGAAGCGACCGCTTAAAGTTAAAATGACTTGATGGATTTGATTCTTACAAACACACAGCTTTTCAATTCACACAAATCTAATTGATGGATTGGAGTCATGTGGATTATTGTGATGTTTTTATCCACTGCAGAGGATTCATTGGTGATCAAGTGATGTAATGCTAAATTTCTCCAAATCTGTTCTGGTGAAGAAACAAACTCATCTACATGTTGGATTTAAAGCAAATTTTCATTTTTGAAATAAGTTAAGATTAAAGAACACACACACACCTTACTGGCAGGTTTAATGTCCCAATGCTCAGCCTCCTTGAGCTCAGTAAAACCAGCCTTCAGCAGGCGAGATTTACACTCCTCCACCACTGCGAGACAAAGAAGGAAAGTCAACATTAGATATACAAAGTGTAAAGTAACATAAAATTAATCTCATGCACATTCCCAGTACAATGCTTACATCACAGTGACATTACAAAACCTGTGAAAGAACATTCTTTCAAAGTCTAGATCAAGATCTATTGTCCATATCTGGAGTATCAGCCAGGGAAGAACAATGTCCAAGACCCATACCTAGTAAGTCTGTAAAGCTGGGTAATCTTATTATCGACAAAGCGTAGCTCAAACTCTAAAAAGAGTAGAATTTATGCATTTCAATGCAATTTACATTGTCATGGCTTGCAGCTCAATATACAGCATTTCAATCCCATGTCATTCTTTCTTACCATGGTAAGGTGAAACTCCCTTATTGACAAAATTAAGAAACTCTTTGGCAGCAGCCTGCACAGCTTCTTTGGAGCTTTTCATGATGAAAGACTGTGTAAAACATACAAGAAACAATAAATATAAGTACAGACAGAGAAAGCAGCCAGTCATATGCACAGATACTATTTCAGATCAACAACTGTATTAGTGACCGCGTGAAACCAGCTGTATTCTTGTTTCGGAGATTTTTATTATCATGCTTTAGTAAACTTAGTAAAAGCACATGACGTGAATATTAGAGAAACGACATAAAATGCAAATGCAAAAAAACACACACACACCCGATACCTACAAACCCATGCAACAACGTTTGCTGAATATGGGAAATCCTACACGAGAAAGACGATATAATTCTCTGCACAAGCCACAGCACTTTTAAAGTTACCCGTCAAGCTTTCCTACCTGCACATATGAAGTAGTGGACACGTTCAGGGGCTTGAGGTATTCGGCCAATCACAATGCACTGGATAGCTGGCCAATCACAGCACACCTCGCTTTTTCAGACCGATGAGCTTTGTAAAAATCGACGCGTTTCAAAAAGGCGGGGCATAGAGGAGAAACAATAATGTACAGTATGTGGAAAATAATGTTTTTTTTACTTTAAACCGCATAAACACATTTCATTACACCAAATACACAAAATAATGATCTTTATAGCAGCATCATATGACCCCTTTAATGTGTTGTGAAGTGAAAAGCTGCATGTTTGTGAGAAACAAATGCATCCTTACAATGTTTTCAACTTAAAATCGAGTCCTCCATCCGTAATATTGCTTTCTCCAGTTTAAAAGTTGTCTCATCTGAATGAGGAGAGAAATATGCACAAATCAAGCACTGTGAAAATAGTCTAAAACAGTTCTAAACATGTTGGTGGATTTTGATGTGAGAGGACAACAGGTGATGAACTTTTTCACTGGAAGATGCTTTATTATGGATTATAGACTCGTATATCGGTATCGTATCGAAAGCAAAATAAGTGGTATCGCCCATCCCTAATATGAAGTAGTGGACTTTCACGTTCAGGGCAAGAATGCAGAAAGCTATGAGGATTTGCTGTAGTCTGGTAGCAGAAGAAGGCCCTCTAGTGGTTGGAGGTGCAATAGCTCATACTTTTAAAAACAAAAGTGCATTATTATATTGTATATTATATTAATATATTGTCGTTTTTATGTTTTAATGAAATATAAAAATTTGTCAAATAAAAAAAATAAATGGTAACTATTCAAACATTAAGATAAAAAAAAATGTCCAGAAAGCCAAATCTACACCACTCATATTTAGGAACAACAAGTAAATTAGTATAAAGTTTTTTTTTTTCATTGTAGAGTTAAGTGTTTCTTTCTGTTATTTGATATCTCCACGCAAGAAACCTTGTGATGTTCTTAATAATTGAGAGGATAATGTACCATTAATTTAAGCTTTAGTCCAAAGTTAATGTCAGGGTAAAAATCTCAAGCAGAACAATATCCCCATTTATGATCTGCAGTTCAGGTATTATTCAATAGTTTTGCTCTCACGTATTTTACTCTTTTGTTTTCACAAACTATTTTTTAACAGTAGAAGCTGACAGCATCTTTCTAAGACATAATGAAAACAAAGTACACTTTTAAAAGTTCATCAGAGAGCCAAGATGAGTGACTGTTGATCATGTCTTGACTTCTCCTCAAGGCTAGAAGGTATGATTGTCGATTTTGACTCAGATGCTCATCAGTGTTGCAGCAAGTCGACATAGATGAACAATACATAGCAGTTTAAAGCTCTTAAACAGATCTGTGATTAATTTTAAAAAGCCTCAATGACAAAACTATTTGTTCCTGTTTCAAAACCTATACATCATATTGTTAAACACATTTTTGTCTCATTTAGATATGATAATCATGCCATTAAGTAACAACTTACCACACTCCCACTGAGACTATAGGCTATCCATTGTTCAGTTTTTATTCCTAAGAACTACTGCAGGGTCACATACATTTCTTGCAAAATCAGCATCTGTATTAAGATCATAACATCTCTCTACTGCAATTAATTAGTTATGCTCAAATAAGGCTTTATGCAGACTGTGAAGTACTGTTGCAAAGAGGCATTTATTTATTGCCTTTCGATTGCCTTTTTACTGTGAACTGTACACATTTACTTCAGCATTACACAAATAGAAATACAGAATATAGTCATTTTTCATCATTTATTATAGTAACGTGGTATGCCACACGATAATGAAGGATATGCAGTTCTCCTTTATTTTGTTGTATGTACAGTTTATGTCATGGTTTACAGTTTCATAACACTAGGGCACATATTAGTTAGGGCACAGCACACAGTCACAACTTTGTCAAGGAATGTCATGTCCTCATCTTCACATGGGGCTCTCATGCTCACTGGTACGGCCTCATTTAGCATGGTGTACTTTGTGCGCACACATCCGATCACCCTCTTCAAATGGACCCTGAGGTGAGCTATCTTCCGTGTCTCCTCCTCATCCTTTGGAACCAGTTTTTGCTTTTTCACTTCTGCACACATTAGCCCAACATTGTGCCCGGTGTCAAATCCACGATCCACCAACACCAAGTCTCCAGGCAATAGTTTATCAAGAAGGCCACTACTCTCAATCACATCCTTGACATTGATACCACCTCCCCACCCTTTAGAAACGAAAGCAATAGCTCCACGTGGAGTAATACCAATAAGATACTTTAGCGTGTGCTTTTGTGAAGATGTCTGTGCTATAGCTTTCTGATTTGATGCTCTCTCAGCGTTAATTTCAAAGCAGTCCACAATAACCGCAACATGACTGCCAAAAGCTTCTACAAACTGTTGCAACATGCTGCCCTTCAGGCAATGTCTCTCTGGCCAGTGCACCAAAGGGCTGAGGTGTGTAAACATGGCACCTAAGGTGTCTCTGAACGTGGTGGACACAGTCTTTTGATCTATGCAGAAGAGGTGTGCAATGTGCTGGATTGGCAGATTCAGCCTGAGGCGCATCAGAGTTAAGAAGAGCATCTGAAAAGGCGAAAGTTTGCGTCTTGTCTGTGGTAGGCAGGGAAGAAGCTGCGTCAGCACACCCATCAGAACAGCAAAACATGGCAGTCCAGTGTAGTACTTGACCTTCTTGTCATCATCTCCCAAAAAATCCTCAGACATTGTCTTTTGAGAGAGCTCTTCCTTCAATAACCTGTTCTCCTCTAATAAGCGGTTAATTTCAGCACGTCTGCAGTTACAAAAACTACATTCCTGCTGTTCTACAAGGTCGTACTTTGGTGCAGCCTCATCCATCTGTAACCTCTGTGAAACTTCATCCGGTGGTCCATCTTCATCTGGTGGTCCATCTTCATCCGGTGGTTCATCTTTAACCAGTGGTACATCTTCATCTATCTCCAATTTCAGGTCAGGTAGAGCTGGTGATGTTGCAGGTGCAGCAGTGTTCTGTTTGAGACCTTGCTGTCTCTTTGTCCTACGGCTAAACCGCTCAGGATGCACTGCTTTGACTTCTGTGTGCCCGAGATGTAATGACGGTGCCCAGTCGGGATGACACTCAAGCATTTCATAGGCTGGTTTGCCTGATTAAAAGAAAAGACAGAATTTCTTTGATTAGGCAAACTAGCTAGTTTGAAATAATCAAGATTTTTTTTTAACATAAGTGACTCATTATTATTACAATTTAAAATAATTGGATATATTTTAAAATGTAATTCATTCTTAAGATGGCAAAGCTGAATTACTTCGGTCTTAATTACTCCAGTAATCCTTCAAAAATCATTCTAATATGCTGATTTGGTGCTCAATTATTATCACTTATTAATAATGGTTCTTATCAATGTTGAATTTTCTTGCTGCATAATATTTCTGTGGAAACCATGATACATTTTCAAAAGAACAGCATTTATTTTAACATTTAACATTATTAAAGCCTTTACATCACTTTTGATCAACATCAATTTGATCAAATGCGTCCTTGCACAATATTACACACACACGTGCATGAGTTTAAATCGAAGTTAAAGTCTTATCTTCTGGCCCGAGCTTTTTAGCAATTCTTAATTATGTTCTATTTATTTTTATGTCTTATTGCTTTCTTTCTTTATCTGTATCTTAGTTTTATATTCTGTAAAGCACTGTGGTCAACTCCTGTTGTGTTTATTTGTGCTATATAAATAAATGAAATGAAATGAATAACCATACATATACTGTATAATCTTACTTACACTGCTGTATAAAAGTTTAGGTATTAAGTAAAATATTAAGCAGCAAAAACTGTATTTTAGCAGTGATAATAGGAAATGTTTCTTGAGCACCAAATCTGCATATTAGAATGATTTCTGAAGGATCTTGTCGTGGACTAAAGGACATATTAGAATGTGGAGGAAAAAGTCACGGAAGGAAATATCTGTTCTGCTTCCTTAAAAATACAAGACTTTTTTTTATTGAACAGTATCAATTTACACACTCAAATGGGGAACAATAAAATGCATATGACAAAATATACACTTTACCAATCACGTCTCCATCATACATAAATTTCCATGTGTGTATATATGTATATCTCTACATACAATAACAATAAACAAAACAAACATTCTTTAAACATTTGAGGGGGTTTCAAGGAGGAAAAAATAAATAAATAAATAAAATAAAGGATACAAAATCTTGCCAGTCTTAAAAGGAAAGAGACTCATACATGGTTATATACAATTCCCCAAGGGATTGATTATCTTTGGATAAGTGTTTTAAAGATTCTAAGTATTTTTTACATTCATTTTTAAAGCAATTTAAAGAGGGTTTACTGTTATTCCACTTACTTTTGTGTATATGATATTTACCCATTGTAATAATAATGTTTAACATCAATGACATGTTTTTCGAAAGACCATCTGCACAACCAAAAACCAAAACCTGAAACAAATTCAGTGATGGAATATCAGTGTTGATATCAATATTTAGCCAGCTGTAAAGATCCTGCCAGAACTTCAATGTGACTGGACAAGAAAAAAATAAATGTTCAATGGTTTCAGGCTCTTCTAAACAAAAAACACAAGGATCTACTTCAAAACGGAATCTTTTCCGTAAAATTTCGGCAGCTGGATACACATTATTAATAATCCTAAACTGAATATCCTTCATTTTAGGTAGAATTGGCCATTTAAGATAATTACAGAATTTGTTTTTAAATATTTCATTTTCAAATTGTTTTAATTTTGAAGGTGTATTGAAGTCTGCAAATAATTTACATTTTAATACATTCCCTATTACTTTGTTCTTACATTTTTTGTCCCCAATATATACTTCTCCAATCTTTAACTCAGGCAGTTTAACAGATACATTTGAATACGTAAGAGTGTTTTGATGTTTGAATACTGTCTTTCTCTTTATTGTAATGGTTCTGTTATTCCACAATGTAGAACCATGCGGTGTAAAATTTTGGGTGAATATCATTTTCCAATAATACAAAATCTGTTTGTGGAATTTTGAAAGCTTAATTGGCAATTTGGAAACCTCAAAATCACATTTTAGCAAAAAATCTAACCCTCAAACTTTCTTGAATATTAATAATACAAGACTGGTGAGGGGGATTTGATGTTTTAATCGGTGTAGTAGTAATATAATTCCAGAAGATGGCAGTAATGCAACTTCTAGGATGCAAGCTGCCTTTAAAACCTAAAGAAGAAGGAAATCCCAGTCTATGGGAAATCCCTAATGGATTGGAATCATAGACTGTAAAAAAAGATGGATGATGCACCTTCAATCTCTTCCACTGAAGAAAAGTGAAGCCACCATAATAAATACATTACACAGCAAAATAAATCTCTTTTTTTGGTTAATTGGTTTAGAACAAATATTTTGTTGGTTTCTCAACGTTTGAATAATAGTAATGGTCATGCGCTTACATATTCAGAGTTTTTAGAAAAAATTTCATTTTATATACCTGTCAAGGAGTATATGATGGTAATTAATGCCATTCCTTCAGAACTTAGGAAATTAATAGAAAATGATATAGTCGAAAAAACAAATTTAGATTTCAGTGTTAAACTGGAAGGCATAAATATAAAAGAACAAAAATGTAACAATAATTATCTTAGAGAGATTTGCCAAATTTCCAGTGTTCCTTTAGCCATTGGTTTTTGGAGATCACAATTTCAAGATGTCAACTGGAAAGAAACCTTTAAGATCTCCAGACGTTTTTGTATCACAAATCAAATGACAAAAGCCATCTTTGGAAAAAAATTATTTGAAGTGAAATTTAATTATTTAGTTTGTCTCATGTCCCATTAGATTACATGGAGAGGGCGGGGTTTATGACCTATACTGGGACCAGCCACCTGGGAACGATCGAAACGCGATGGCTTCACTTTTTAAGACATTTGATTGGAATGGCCAAATGCATCCTGCTATTGCTGTAGTTAAAAATAGGTAATTTCACTTCATTTCCTGATAATATAGTATATGAATAATGCAGTGCTAACTGACATAACATTTATTACAGTATAGGTTTATTGTCTTCCACGTTTCATCAGTCAAAGCATCTCTATCTGCATGTTATTCAGCTGTAGTGATATCTGATGCATTTGTTCATAAAGGATTTCCCGGGTCTCACTTGTGAAACAGACATTAAAGTACACAAGTGTCAGGGATAACCCTGCTCCATAATGCTCACATCGTCTCATTTTGGGGTAAAAATAGAAAAATAATACTAAAGTAATTTGTAACGCAGTAACTTGAGTAGTTTTTCAGCAAACTAATTTTTTACTCTTACTTGAGTCATATTATTTTTCAGTACTATTACTTGTACTCAAGTAAATTATTCCTTAAGTAGCAATACTTTTACTTAAGTGCAATTTCTTAGTACTCTTTCCAACACTACTTGTGACACTGAAGACTTGAGTAAGTTAATGGCTGCAGAAAATTCAGCTTTGCCATCACAGGAATACATTGTATAGTGAAACGGTAAACAGTTATTTTAAACTACAATAATATTTCACAATATTACTATTTTACTGTTTTATACAGTAATAAATAAACGCAAATAAACGTAGCCTTGGTGAGCACAATGATTCTTCCGGAACCATTAAAAATCGTGAACTTTTGACCGGTAGTGTGTGAATCTATGCAGTTGTGCAAAGTTAGCTGTGTAACTCTTCGCCATGTTTGCATTGCTAGCGGCAACCACATAACAGTTAGATGTGTTTTGATTATAACTTACCTGAGAGAAAATGCCGTGAACACACAAGCATATGTCGGAAAATGTTGTCGAAGGTGATGTCTTTGCGTCTTACGGCTGATACCCATGCCATGCGACGCCTCTTTGTTAACTCAGACATCTGAGTTCCAAGGTGATGCTTCCAAGCTGGAAAGCTGAAAAATCGTACTCCATTTAAAATGCGTTTTCCACGTCGGTCCTGAGAACGGTTTTTGCAGTTGATAACACAGCAAGCGTTCACCATTCCTGCGTGTTTTAGTTGAACAATAATAGAAACTCTGATGTCTGCCTACTGTCCCGTCTCTATGCAGCTTCCGTGTCCTAAAATCCCACAATGCCTTGCGTGCGTTGCTTGCTTCTGCTGACGTCACGTTCCCATTATACACCCAGAGACTATACTATTCTGTAAAAACAAAATTAAAGAAGTGTCTTATAAAATACTACATAGGATTTATCCAGTTAAAAATGTTTTGGAAAGATTTAAGTTGAACATTTCATATAACGTTACATGTCAATTTTGTGGACAGGAAAATGAAACGATTTTGCATTTTAGAAAATATTTAGATATTTTAGGAAATAAAGAACAATATAACAAAAATGTATTATCCTGGCGTGTCTGCTTTTGGACAACAATGGTATTACGGCCGCTGTGAAATCTGTTAATTGAAATGCCTATTAGTCTGCCTACTGTCCCGTCTCTATGCAGCTTCCGTGTCCTAAAATCCCACAATGCCTTGCGTGCGTTGCTTGCTTCTGCTGACGTCACGTTCCCATTATACACCCAGAGACTATACTATTCTGTAAAAACAAAATTAAAGAAGTGTCTTATAAAATACTACATAGGATTTATCCAGTTAAAAATGTTTTGGAAAGATTTAAGTTGAACATTTCATATAACGTTACATGTCAATTTTGTGGACAGGAAAATGAAACGATTTTGCATTTTAGAAAATATTTAGATATTTTAGGAAATAAAGAATAATATAACAAAAATGTATTATCCTGGCATGTCTGCTTTTAGACAACAATGGTATTACGGCCTCTGTGAAATCTGTTAATTGAAATGCCTATTAATTTAAGGGGCTCGGTAGAAATCGCTGTGGGGCCCCCAGCCGGGGCCCTCCGTACTCCAGCTACGGGCTTGCTTTGAGGAAGAGTTCGAAAAGGTAGGCCTATATGTTTTGCAGAAAATTACAATGGTGGATAAACAGATTTTATACTAGCATGTTATTAGTTGCTGTAATTTGATTGCCTGCTGGTGGCCATATTTGTTGATTTATCAAAGTATTTTTCATTATAATATTACCTTTTACCCCAAAGAAACTTTTCATTTCAACTTGATTGAACATACTGTTATGGATTTAGAATTTTTCAGTTATAGCACCCCCTATGACACAACTTGTGGTAGCCTAAGACCTCATGTCTTCTGTTTCTTTAAATTTGGACCTTATATACAATAAGTCCGTTAGTTAAAATAGGCAATGCACCAGAATTGACTTTTACTTTCAAAAAAATGGACACATAAATTATTATGTTAACTTTTTTTTAAAATAGGGTCTCGCCTAGGAGGAGTTGGAAAATTTAGATTTTTCAGAAAATTTAAAATGGTGGAAAAATTGACTTGAATGAAATTAGAGATATTTGTTTTGTAGGGTTTGACTGAAGGACTGAAAGGAATTTTGTTTCTAGCCCTTACGGTTCCAGAGTTATCTAAAACGTAAATAGCCCTTTTATAGCGCCACCTAGTGTCAGACCGATGTGTGCCTGTCTGCCGTTTGGGATCATCCTTCCAAGTTTGGAGTCTCTTTGATTTATGGTCTCTGACCCCCAGACACTTTTAGGGCTAGAAAGAAGAAGAACTTTAAAAGGTTATAATATAATATAATATAATATAATATAATATAATATAATTCAGGTATGAGAAAGTAAACCATGGAAACGCAAGGAAACGCTTTCACTCAAAATGTAATAACCACAGAAACACATATCAACATTAAAATAATTTTAATGTCCTGAGATGAGTACATGAACAAAATAACTGCACTTACATAGTTAGGTGTGTATGCCTATGTCTGTGTACTGTTGCCGGGTTGCATAGGCTACAATATTTAGAAACATGATTCCCCCCACCCCCACCCACTTCCCAACACAAGAGCACACACAGCCCTGGAGCAGGAAGTTACACTGATAATTCACAAAACTTCATTAACATATAGCATATTCATATAAATTTTCATATCATGTTCATATTTGTCTTATAACATTCTAAATAAGGAACAAAGAAAATATTTTATCGAATGCATGAATTGCTAGATTTCAAGCTCATATCTGATTATTTGATAGGCCTATTGATATTGATATTGAACAGCAATGTGCTGTATGTCCCTGAACTTTTCGGGTGCGACGTGGTTTTGGCCACAGCACATTTTTATTCAGTCACAGAACAAAAGTGGAATGTCACCTCTTGCTTCTATGTGAATAATAATAAACACCTGATAGTGAAAGGTCACGCTCTCTAATTAAAGCAGTTTCAAAGAAAACAGAAACTTTGTCTGTTGCTATGGATTTAAAGACACCTCTCCTCTGAGTTTATAACAATTTGATAGATTTTGGCCAGCATTTATTTTGTGTTTATTCAGCTAACAAATTAAAAAGAGTAAATATACAAATCAGTCATCTTGGACTTTACTGACACCTAGAGGCGCGATTGTAGCATCATGAAATAAAAATGCCCTGTTCACGTGGTTTTTGTGTCACACTATAGGAGAAAACCATTGCTGAAAGCACCTTTAAATACAACACTTATCTTCATTATTTTATCAAAGCAAACATTCTCAGTATCCCTTGCTGAGCTCAGAGGCTTGTACACCTTATATAGAGCTGAAAGAGATAGAAGAGGATGGGAGAAAAGGCGAATAAACAGGAGAGTGGGAGAGTAGAAGAAAAGAAGATATGTTTACATCCTCTGTCACCTGTGGTCTCTCTCTCCTGTCAGCTGAAGGCTTCCAGAGAAGGTTTTGTAATGATGGAATTCCAGTCCTCTTACACTGTCTATAAATAGGTTTGAGAAGAACCATGGACAGCCACCAGAGGCTTGTAACAATTATATGCCTTATTTGATCAGCTTACAAAAGATCTGAAATGCACACTTTACAATATTAGAGATCTTATATGAAAACAGGCCTTGATCTCCGCTTTTCAGCATTATGATCATCTGCAGAAACATATACTGTAGGTTTGTCATTACATGTACATCTTAGATTATTTCTCCTATGCTGCAGGTCTGAATCAGGAGTTTTCAGCAGGAGTCTACAACTATACTAATAGTTTTATTTCAAAATATTAAATGTGAAATAAGGAAAATACAGGAGAGAAATTGCAATATTAATTTTACCCCAAAATAAAGGAATAGTTCAACCAAAAATGAAAATTTACTCACCCTCAGGCAATCCAAGATGTAGAGTGTGTTTCTTGATCAAAACCGATTTGGAAACATTTAGAATTACATCACTTGTTCACCAGTGGATTCTCTGCAGTGAATGGGTGCTGCCAGAATGAGAGTCCAAACAGCTGATAAAAACATTACAATAATCCACAAGTAATCCACACATCTCCAGTCCATCAGTTAACATCTTGCGAAGTAAAAAGCTGTATGTTTGCAATGAACAAATCAATTATTAAGATGTATTAACTTCAAACCGTAGCTTCTGGTTAAAATGAGTCCTCTATCCATAATTGCTTTCTGCAGTGAAAAAGTAATCTTGTCTGAATCAGGAGAGAAATAGATGTTAATTGATGGACAGAAGTCATGTCGGTTACTTGTGGATTATTGTGATGTTTTATCAGCTATTTGAACTCTCATTTCTGACAGCACCCATTGACTGCAGAGGATCCATTAGTGAGCAAGTAATGTAATGGTAAATATCTCCAAATCTATTCCAAAGAAGAAACAAACTCATTTACATATTGGATAGCCTGAGAGTGAGTAAATTAAAATTTTTGGGTAAACTATTCCTTTAACGTCAACCAAGTTAAGGTAAAGTTCAGAATGTTTAATTGTCCCTCCCACAGTAAAATGTGTTAAATAAAACTAAACTATATTAATTATAAGTATATCAATATTTTAATGACTTTGCAATGTAAGAATATATAAGTTTCAAAAGAAGTCTTCCAGTGGGAAACGTACTTTTATTATTATATTATATTATATTATATTATATTATATTATATTATATTCAGAGGTGTATTAACATCTTAAATCTGCTCTCCTTCAATAGACACATGGCAAATGCCATTGTCAATAATGACGCAATGAGTTTACCAATGCAGGAGGAGAGGATCATCTCCCCCGCTGTTTCCAGAGAAGGTACACAGTCGTGCATCTTCTCCTCTACTGTTCATGCCTTTCCTTTTTAAGGCAGCTTGGATAAACCTTCTGCTCAGTCTGTGCTCATATGTTCACCAGCTTTAGGTGCTGCAATAAAAAATATTAGAATGTGACATTTTCTCAAGCTGTTATCAGGACATTTACAAATGGCAGAGCGATGCAGTGACATCAGTGTGGTAATTTATGGAATTCCAATGTGAATGCTTTTTTTCTGATCAATAAATGGAATGTAAAATGGAATAGTTCAACCTAAAAGGAAAATTCTGTCGTCATTATCCTCACCTTCATGTCTTTCCAATCCTGATTTTCTGCAAAAAGAACATATGTGACCCTGGACCACAAAACCAGTCATAAGGGTCGATTTTTTAAAATAATTTATATTTATACATCATCTGAAAGTTAATGTATGGTTTGTTAGGATAGGACAATATTTGCAAAAAAATCGAAATATTGAGAAAATCGCCTTTAAAGTTGTCCAAATGATGTTCTTAGCAATGCATATTACTAATCAAAAATTTGGTTTTGATATATTTACGGTAGGAAATTTACAAAATATCTTCATGGAACATGATCTTTACTTAATATCATAATGATTTTTGGCATAAAAGAAAATCGGTAATTTTGACCCATACAATGTATTTTTGGCTATTTCTACAAATATACCCGTGCTACTTATGACTGGTTTTGTGGTCCAGGATCACATATTTCAAAAAGATCATGTTCTTGCCCATACCAGTGTTCTTTTAGTATCATTGAGATGCTATTATAGTTTGTATTATTATTTTAAATTAGTTTTCATTTGGATTTTTTTTTTCAGTTTTCATTTTAATTTTAGTCACAGTCTTAGCAATTTTGTTGTGTGTTTTTGTCATTTGTATTAGTTTTTTTTCCCCTTTTCAAATATGTCTAGTTTTTTTATATGTATATATATTTTTTTA